TTAGTGAATAATTTCAAAAATGCCAAACTTTGAGTTGTGTCACTTTTGAAGATCGTGTGCGATATCTAAAATAGAATATACCAACTATCGCCAGTGTAGCGCAGCAAAATTTCGGGCTAGCGGCTATAGTTTTGAAAACATACAGAAATTAACATAAAAGAAGTTTTTGTGACGCGTTATTAATTCTTTTTTGTGTTTCTTGTGTTCTATCTGGCATCTGACAAGTTCTCAATTAGTGTTTGCTTATTCTGTTTTTTTTTTTGTTTTGCTTATGATACTAATGTTCGCAGTGCTTCATTGTTTCTTTTTCTTTAGTTCGTAATCTTTTATTATTGCGAACTTTGTTGTTAAACAACTGATCAGAATGTATGAAAGAACTGTTTAAAAAATATTCGTCTCTTTATTTTTCCAACAAAAATTTGTGATTGCCCATATACAAAGCATTTATAGGCATTCACGTACATACTATAAAAGTTTTTTTCTCCGAAAATATATTTTTGTTGCTTTTATTGCTTATTCTGCCCATTGTTTATTTATGTACTTATTAATTTTGTAGGAATTTAAAAATATATATATATATTTGCACATGCGAATTTATTAATTTATTTTATATCGCACGCCGTTTTCAAAGAAGGCACAACTCATACTTTGGCATTTTTGAAATTATGCGCTAAAAATGTACACAGAACGTTTATTTACCTTTCAGCAATACCTGGGGCAAATTTTTGTTATAATTTATTAAAAAAAAAAACTAAGATAAAATCTCCCTTGCCCACATGATTATCACGTACTAAGAAATACATTTTCCCATTTGCTGACAAACGTGTTATTTTGAGTTGTGCCTCTTTTGAAGACGTTGTGCGACATGTATGTATATCATGCGTCATTGTCAATACCAAGCTTGGCGTGGGCGGCATTTATATACGTGAGCACTCCTTACAAGCTATCTTGAAGTCCCAATTAATACTAAAGAAATATTCAAAAATTTTTTGCAACTCTGTTGGGCTGTTACATCAACAGCACACATCGCTTCATATTTTATGTCCCATTTCAGATGTCTTAAAATCCCATTTTCATATGCGCTCAGCACAAATTCTATCATTTATATATGGAAAGGTGCCATAAGTAAGCCTTAGAATTCATCGATCAAATTAATCATGTTGCAGCAGCATAAATTATCGAAATTATCCGGGCTTCGAACGTCTGTCTACTTCAATTCGTGGGTGTTACGTGATTTTCAATTTCTTCAATTCCTCATCGATTTCCTTTTTTGTCATGGAAATGTTGCCACGTCAGCAGGACTTTTTTCCCAAAGTGTGTGTTTACAATAAAATGTCTCTCATTTGATTCTTCGTCACTTTACTTTTAGCACCTTTTACTTTATTTTGATTAGTTAATTTCCTGCTCTGTCTTTTTCCATCTTAACCACAGGATTGTTGAATTGTGTCTCCAAAAGCCAACGTCATCCCATCTGGAAAACTAAAATATGTACATTTTGCGCGCCAGTTATTTACACAAATATCACTTGCTTGTAATCAAACTTCCGGCACTCTGCGCCACCCACCTGGCCACTCTGAGCAAATCGGCGAAGTCTTAAGTACTCAGTGACGGTCTCACGAAATTGGCGCGCACTTATCCCCTTTATATCTTTACAAAAGCTCAGAAATTTTCCTTCCAGGCGACGAGCTGTGACATGAAAGTGAACATGTGTAAATGTGAAAAAATGTATGCACACGTACATACATACATAGATATCTATATTTCATGCCTACGAGTAGCGAGTACGTAAGCTACGCCTGAAATATGCATGAAATATTTATGCACACATTTTGACGTTTTGCCGATAGTGTGGTGGTGTGGTTGCTGTTGTTGTCGACATGTGTTGAACGTGATGAATTGTAGAGGTTTAGTTTATTTATTTCATGCAATTTGGTTTATTTTACATGCATGAGTGTACAAAATGTGTTTGGTAGTGTGTGCGTTTGCGAGTAATGATTCACTTTCATTTTATTGCCCTTTGGCTGGCATGATGCATTAATTTACTCGTCGTTTGAGGGCTTTTGGTGTTGTTTTTCTGTTGAATTGCTGTAAATATGTATTTGATAAAATACTTGGGACGAAGACGATAAGGAAAATGTGCTTAAAAACTCTAAACTAACGGTGCAGTCGGACGTGGCAACACAAGTACTTTTTGAACGCGCTTTTCTATCAAATTGAGAAAGTGAAAGTCCACTTTCCCGTGTGAATAACCAAAGAGTACTTTTCGTCGTTATTTGGAAATGAAAATACAAGGTGTGAATAGAGGTCCATTCAATATGAAATCCATACTTCCAAGTTTTTTTTGTTTTAATGCATTAATAGCCCATCAAATTTTCAAGAGAGTGATTTCGATAGCGTAACAACCCGAAAGAGCTGAAAATTCTTGTTAGTAAAAATTTTAGCAAGCTAGTGAAATGAAAATATGGATGAACAATTTAAAACTATGTACTTAATATATATTTTTTGATATTTATGACCAGGGAACGGATTTTTAGGGCCGAAAAACATATAAAAATGGCAAAATAAAACAACGAAATACGCTGGATAAGGCAAAATAAAATAGCGAAATAGGCAGGAAAAGGGACTAGAAATAGCAAAAAAGGCAAACGAAGGCACTAAAAAAAGACATATCTGAAAAATAACACTCGGTTTCAGGAAAAATGTTCAACGGACGCCACTACATATCCAATTCCTGCTCATTTTTCATGCAAAAAAGTTTTTTAATGACCACTTTTTACTTCTTTATTTATCCATCGATTTTCTTCATTATCAACTTGATTTTTGTGTAACAAAACAGTACCTTTTCCGATAATTTTCTCTTCTCAATTTTACTATCTATTTTTCTTGTACGCTCTCGCTGCAAGTAGTTACTGGAAAAGTTATTGAATGGACCTTATAGCAGAAAGAGCGCAAATCGCTTTCAAAAAATAATTTCAGCTTGCTTTCAAAATAAGTCGAAAAGGCTGTCAAATTGAGAAATTTCAGAAAGCAGTTGCATGATCAGTCACACCTTGCATGTAAAGTGCCTTTCGAAAGAGGTTTTTTTATTTCCGAAAGGCGAATTGCAGATTGCTAGTGCAGCACGAGCAAGTTGAAATATATTTTCGAAATCGATTTGCGCGCTTTGAGTTGCAGTCACGCCTTGCAACTTTAATTTCTGAAACTGATTTCCGAAGATCAATAGAAAGGTCTTTCAGGCTGTTCTCACATGGAAATAAAATTTCTCTTTCTCAATTTCACAGCGAATTGCTTGGAAAAAATGGAAATATTGCCAAGTCTGACACGCCCTTAACTTAGATTTTTACAGACAGTACTGTCTAACCAAATGCAATGCTTTTGTGAAATAGTTTTGTGAACTTTAAACAAAATATCAATTATTGCTTTCCGGAAATTAAAAACTACTTTTGAATGTTTTTTTGCATGCAAAGTTTGACCGTTCTTGCAACAAGTTTGACTCGCAAATTACCACGTTTGAATACACTTTTATTTGGTGATCCTTTCGGAATTAATTTTAAGCGAATAACACAATGAATCCCAAAGTATTTAATTTAATGTTGATTTGATAGTTGAATTTGGAATTGCGTTGCCATTTTACTTACTTTATAAGCAAACGTAGAACTGTGAAAGAAGGTTGCTGAAAGATCGTTTATTGACGCAACTGTTACCGAACTACTATTTTTATGCAATCCCTTTGTTAAGAAGTATTAAAAAATGCAAATTCCAAGTTCTCGTAAATTTTGTTTATATGTATGTGGGTTTATTCACTAACAAAGAAGATATCAACTCACAAAATCTACGCAAAATGTTTTGTCTCCCAAAAATGTATTTCTTCATAAACCGCAGATGCATTTCTGAACTCGCAAAAAACTACGTTTATTCTTTTAGTAGTTGTAATTTTTTAAATTGGAACATAGAGCGATTAAACCTTGGAACGCAAGATGGCTAAGTCTTTTTGGCCACGGGTAGATGGATACCGTCTCTTAAAGCTTAAAAGTTTACATATTTCGTCACTGGTTCGCGTCTTAACTGGCCATTGTACTATTGGAGTCCTTGCGGTAAGGCTCAACGTAACAGCTGCGTAAAATACAATGAGGTGGGATCATCTCATTAAAGGCATCGTTCTATTTTTTCCCCTTTTTTCCATTCCTATTTGCATGCTATCTCATCCCAATCACAAATGGCATGAGTAGCAAACAGTTTTAATTTTCTAGTCCAAGTGCTGCCATATAACCTAACCTATTATTTAGATTGAACGAAGAACTCTTGCTACCAGAAATTCCAGAAATGATACTAAACACTAGTATCCTAAGATCATAGGATTTGAAGTCCACAAAATCCCACCAAATTATATACTGGTATGTACATGAAGTGTATATCGTTACCTTAATATAGAAAAGCCCTAACTCATATAGTCGCTGAAATGCAAAAAAGCCGTAACTGACTAAAATTTTGTATTACTTAAAATGACGTGGGGACTTACACATATACCGATGAAATGCATCATAATCAATCAAAAGGGAATTTTAAATATTTACTTAGTTGCGGCTTTTTGTATTGTCAGCGACTGTATGAGTTAGGGCCTTTCTATATTAAGGTAACGATATAAATATTTAAAACCTAACCTCTCTTAAAAACAATTATTTTCTATATGTATGTATTGAGGCTTTGTTTTCCCAAAATTCTTCATTTCCACATTTTGTGTTCAGTTAGACAAATTCTACGACTTTATTAAGGAAAAAATGTAGTCAAATAAAATCAAATTGCATTCTGCACGGAAGATATCAATCGTAACTTTACTTTTCTTATTTCAATTATAGTTATAATATGATGTGGCAGTGGGTCCAATGACTAACTCACTTAGACCATGCAGGTCCATTGTGATACTAGTTACAATATAGTATGGGTCTAGAGACCTACTCTTACCCTTTATAAATAAGAATATAATTCACTAATCAATTCCGTTTGCCTTCTGCTTTTCCAGGAGCATCATCTGCAGCGGGCAATATGTACTGGTCTCATTATACCGACACCAGAGGTTTTTACCACCGATCAGCAAGCCTACGATCGTATGTATCCTCCAAATTACAAAATGCCGCGGCAATTAATTCACATGCAGCGTAAGTGCCAGTTTGTGTTTTTCGTTTTATAACATTGTCAATAATTTGCCAATTGTCAATTTTATAGCGCTGGGTCTCGAGCAAGATGTACCAGATTACGATATGGATAGCGGCGATGAAGTTTGGATAAGCCAACAGAGTCGACGTCTTGATCTGACACCACTGAAGTTCGAGCAGATGATGGATCGGCTAGAGAAGAGTTCAGGGCAAATGGTCGTTAAGCTAAATGAGGCGAAGGCACTGCTTAAGCAGGACGATGAAGTCAGCATTGCCGTTTACGATTACTGGCTTAATAAACGTTTGAAAATGGTAATGATCATATTTAGATAAAGAAAATAAAGTAAAACTAATAGAGAATGTGCCAGTACTTATATGATGCACATTTTGTACCTTCATACATATATTTTGGTTCTAAATTGAAATTCAAAATACAAAACAAAAAATTGAAATTTGCTAAATTAAAACTTGCAATAATACAGCAACACCCGCTGATACTGACTGTGAAAACGGAGAATCGTCCGGGCTCATCTTCGAACAATCCGTACTTAGCATTTCGCCGACGCACCGAAAAGATGCAAACACGAAAGAATCGCAAAAATGATGAAACGTCCTATGAGAAGATGCTCAAGCTGAGGTGCGTACGAAAATACTTTAGTTTAGTTTTTTTTTTTTTTTGCAACATAAAGCGTGTAAATATTTACAGCTATAGTTTATTATGTTTGAGTTGATTTAAAGTTACGAGTTTGGTATTGTGAAGTCACGAAATATAAATGAGTGACAACTTGCAAATTGCTGTTACCGCAGATATATTATTCAAATTAGTCTACATTAGCATTCAAATTAGTTGATTTTGATACGGCAGGCCTTAATTGTAGCGAAGTTGAAAGCTAAGGACAAAGAGAAAACAAATAGAATTTTGAATATTACACTTCCATAGTAGAATTTATGCCCATAAAATTATAGAGAAGATAACCAATGGAAATAGAACGATACAATTACAAATTGAAACAAATGTATTAAGTCGTATATAAAGATGATAAATACAGAAATACTAGAACAAAGAAAAATTAACGTGGAACCAAAGCATTTCATGAAATCTATAAACAAGGAGTTCGGAATCGGTTTGAGAGTGTGAGACTTATATTTTTCTGTCCTACGAGACTACAACTTTATGCTGCCTCCGAACTTCATATGATACATGGGTGTAGTTATAATAATAGAAGTGTGCACGCAGTTATGACATTGTGTGGTGTTTCATGCCCAAAGTTCAGGAAAGGCCTAGCAATAAATAAAAAATCAGTAAATTACTATTCAAATTAAAACAACAATATCCAACTGACTCACTCACTGGTTTAGTATTAATTTTCCAATTAGCAAAATTAGTGTAGAAAAATACTTTGCCTTTATGACCCCTGCAACTTAAACCGCGTAAACCAAGCAGTAGTAGTAATCGCTGAGCACGTTTTTTTTTTATCAACAAAATAATACTAATTATTCGCGTACATACATAACTAGGCGCGACTTGCAACGTGCCACCACCGTGCTGGAGATGGTGAAGCGACGCGAGAAGACGAAACGTGAGCAATTGCATTTATCTATAGAAATCTTCGAGAAGCGATATCAGCTGCGCGACTTCAGTGGTGCTCTATTCTCCGAATTGAGTTCTTCGCTGAAGAATTCCAGGTATGATTCTTCTAAATACTTATTCGATTGCGCTTCCAATTACTTATTTACTTCACTCTCAACTTTACAGACCTGCGTTTGCCCCTTTGTATACGAATCAATACTCACACCATGCATCTGCGACAGGCACCACACCCACTGGTGTTGTATCAGCAGGTGCGGGGACGCATGCTGCCGGTGTTGGCAGTGTACTGGGGCCAGGCGGTTTGCTTACATCAACGGCGGGTGCGAATAGTGTCGCAGCCGGCAGTGGTGGACATCTGTATGCGTCGGCTTCGCAGTACCTGAATCCTTCAAGTTTAACCATTGGTAAGTTGCTTAATGAAATTTGTGTATTTTTTCACTGAATGTTGCTATTACTTAAGTTATACACTTTTAATTTTCTAACCCACCCTCTTTTCAGATGCAATCAACACTGGCGCAAGTGGTGGTAGTGGTAATCGCAAGGAGAAGCGACAGTATAAGAAACGAAAACATAAATTGCCGCGTGATAAGCAACAGCAGCAGCAACAACAGCAGCAACATCAGCAACATCAGTATTTGGGTGGCGTTAGCAGTGGTAATGGCTTGTCGGCGTCGGCGCTTGGTGGCGCAGGTGCAGCGTTAAGCGCGCAGCATTTGTTACATTTGCATCGTCACAGCTCATCGCCCGCTGCTAATGAGTCCAATATCGAGACGGAGGAGGAGGAGTTTGGCAGTGGTGGTTTGGGTGGTGGTCATCATGCGCACAAAATGGGCTCCGAAAGTGAGGAGGAGATACCGTTTGCATTTAGGCGGAAGCAACATTGCGACTATCAGAGGGTGAGCTATTGCGATGGCTAAAGATTAGATGTGAAATTGACAGTACAAATGAGCATTGTTTTGTCTAAACATGTATGTGTACATATGTACATATGTAAGGAATTTGGTAAAAGTCGTTTGCTATATTTTATGTCACTGTAATTTTGGTGAGAACACTAAAGGGCCTATTTCCGATGAGCAATTCCGATTGAGGATAAAAAAATATTCGTTTTCAGATCATATATTTCAGTTATATATAAAGCCCAATGGCGGCTATTTAAATATGGAAAATGCAACACTGATTTTGAATATGAATTCGCAATAAACTTAAATGCCATTTAAATTTTTATCTGAAATTGACCCTAAGACTAAAAGACAAGTGACCTAAACCAGAACATTCTAAGATCGGATAGATAAATTTGAGATTTTTTTTAAATAAAGAAAAATATCTTATATCTATATATTCATGTAACTACATATGTATATATAGGGATGATTTTCGAATTTGTAGAATGACAATTTACATTTGGTCTTTATTCATTTTGCTTACAGCCTTTAGTTCATGATGGCAATTGGCCTTGGGAATCGAAGGAAGATTGTGGATTTGGTGATCCGAAATATCGATTCACTCTAACATCCATTAAACATCCGAGGTGGATATATTGCTCTAAGCCAATTTAAAGTTCTCATTACATAATATGGGTCCACTTTATTTCAGACCTCGTTGCATTGGTTTCGCCAGACGTCGCATGGGGCGTGGTGGCCGTGTTGCTCTTGATCGCATAGCCACAGATATGGATGATTTTTGGTCACAGCTCGATTACACGATATTTGAAAGCGATACCACTGCGTTAACGACGAAATGCTCAAATATCAAAAAAGAGCCTGTGAAACCCGCCTCGCCACCCACGGTTGTTGACCTGCCGCCGCCGTCCAACATAGGTAACGCAGTTGGCCCAGCTGCCACCACAATCGCCAGCACCTCCACGACGACATTATTGCCTGCATCACAACTACCCGCCAACACAACGATCAAAGTCGAGCCCATCGACGTGGCAATAGATGTGTCGCCAATCAAAATCGATGCTAACGCCGCGCAAGTCAGTGACGATGATGGTGTTGAGGCCGACTTTGATGACGACGACTATGAGGAGGCTTTGCATACAGATGTGAATATTTCACGCGATGCCAACTACATTTCGTCCATGACGTTGTTACGACAGCGGCAACGTCAACGTATGCGCTTGCAGCAGAAACGACGACGGCGTCGACTGCAACGCCAAAAGGCCATTGAAGAGGGTGGCGGTGACGGCGCGTGCGTAAAACGGCAACGCTTCAATAACACCGACAGCGTCGTGGTGGATACAAAGTCAGTGACTGCGACTCAAAAGGTTCCGTCGGCAAAAGAGGAATTGCCACGTCGTTTGCTTCATCAGCTGTCCAAGTTGATTGATGAGAATAGCATGAATAGCATAAGCAGCTACTTGCTGAGCGAAAAAGTGAAACGTGAAAAGCTGAATGGCGATGACGTGTCCGATGAAGTTGTCGTCGACTTGGAGCGGCAGCAGCAGCAGCAACAACAACCGTGGCCAAATCGTTCCAATAACAATTTAATTAACTACAACAACAACAACAATAGTAGTAGTAATATAAATAAGAATGTAGGCGTTAGAGATAAATTCAATGTGATAAAAAGCGAAGGCACCACCAGCCCAGGCTCATTGGCGGCAGCGACGGTCTCAGCACCAGCGGTGGCAGCTACCGTGGGAGCGGCGTCGTCGACAACGACCGCCACTTCAACAATGTCCATGTCGTCAGCAGCACCATTAACAAAAGCCATCAAACAAGAACTAATAGATTGCACAAGCGGCGGTGCTTCAGCCGACGATTCGAATGAACCATTGAGCAGCATAAAGAAATCTGCATCTGCGTTAACGGACACCACATCCACTTCAGCTATGCAAGTGTTGGAGGACGAGGAGAATGTGAATTTGGCGCAATTGAGCAGTCTAATCAGACACACTGTGAAGAAGGAGCCACTGGACGATGATGCTACCGCGTCGCATGCATCGCTAACAACTAGCACAACGAAATTTAATTCTGCAAATTATGCGCATGCCAGCATCGACGATGAGGATATGTCAACGCCGCTAAATCAGTTGCCCGATGTCATACGCCAGCAGCACCGCCAGTCTTTGCAGTTCAATAACAAATTGAAGTGTCAGCAGCTTGCCGGCGATGTTCCATGCAGCAGTGGCATCAATGTCTTAATCGACGACACCTTGCCCACCACATTCGATGGTGACAAGTACGATTACGGTGGCAGTCTTTCGCCGACTTCAAGTCAGCGGTTGGATGTTTGCAATGAACTGCTCTCCGAAATACGCAGGGATTGGTTGCATTTTCGCCCGAAGACGCCAACCGATGACCTGTCTGATAGTAGTGATTGCAAGTTGTCGCCCTCGGAGCCACTGGTCGAGTGGACGCAGCAGACTCCTATAGCCGTCGAAATGCTGCGGTTGCCGTGTGATAGTGTTGAGTCAAAGAGAACTCTGCGCACGCAAAAAAACACTGAGCAGACGTTGAACAGTCTGTGGGATACACATTCCGACGATGCGCTCTTCGTAAGTAGTAGTTTCAAGTATGCTGAACTCGAACCAGACGTGCAGCTTCTACAGACTTACTATGCGCCAGAAGTGACGCGCGGCAGTAGCAAGAGTCCTGACGTTGGCGCAGCAGGCAATTCGAACTCGGCCATTGACTTCAATTTGAGCGGTGACTCGCTAACCGATATAAATCTTTTGGGCGACGGCGATGAAACGGATGAAAATATGCTCGTGAACATACTGAAGGAATGCGACGACATTAAGACTCTGAATCAGGCTACAAATTTTTGGAATGGCATACTCGAAGGTGAAGCAGAAGTTGATGAAGTAGCTGCTGATGTGGAGACTGACTTACTGGCATGCATCGAGGGGAAATCGTCGAAGCATAAGGAAGGCAGACGTGCTTCACGCACTAAAGGCAGCACCGGTGGTGGTTGTGGCGGCAAGTGGCGCAGTGGCTGTGCAATATATGGCGGCACAAGTTTCAACACAACGGATGCCACTAGCACACTTCCTGACGAAGTGTTTTTCCAAAAAGTGCAACCAAAAGTAGAGCCCGCCGACCTAGCTGAAGAGTCAGAGACTACAACGTCAGCAGCGCCTACTAATGCAATTATAAAGACAGAGCCCGTAGACGATTTGTCCGACCCAACAACGCCTAGTGTTGGTGGCTTAGTAACCGCACAACAGCAGGTGACAACTTCGTTAAGCACTATACCCGCGCAAATATTGCAAAATACGGCTGCAGCTGGCGTTAGTCTTGGTGGCGGTGCCACAACTGTCGCAAGCATACCGCATTTCATTACGAACAGCGTGCAGCCACAGCTTGTTGCCACGTCCGGAGTGGTACACCGTCAGCCACAGCTGCATATGCAGCAGCAGTTAATTACACAGCAACAGCAACAGCAGCAGCAGCAGCATCAGCATCAGCCACAAGTGCAGCTGCAGGAGGTGGCTGCAGTTGGTGATATTATAACGGTAACTTCAACGAACGTGCCACCATTGCAGCAACAGCAGCAATACCAGCATGTCCAAGTGCAGCAGCAACAACAGCAGCAACATCAAATATTGCAGCTACGACAACCCCGTCTACAGAACGTCATGCAGCAACTACAGCAAATTCAACAGCAGCAGCAACGTCAACAATTGCTGCAAATGCAACGAGATCTGCTATCCGGCGGGCCGGTCATAACTCAATATGTATCGGCAACGCCAACAAATGCCGGCACCACAACTGTTACGACCACGGCACTTCGCCAGCCTACACTCACACCAATTGGCGCCACAGCGACAGGAAATCACACTATCTATACCACCACCTCGGCGGCAGACGGCAGCATCATGGGTGGCACACAAAAAATTTACATACAAAAAGCCACACCCACAATCAGCAGCGGTACCGCTACCCTATCTGCATCGCAAGTTCCTAACAGCCAGTCGTCCGCAAACACAGCGCCTGCATCGGTTATTACGCTGTCCAATATGAAGCTGGAAAACAATAGTGATGGAGGTGCGTCCGCAAGTCAGACAGTGACGTCAGGTAGTACTACAAATATACTAACTATCGATGGTAATGGCGTCACGGCATCGCCTATGAGCACCACGGGTTCTGGTGTCAACATCATCAGTACGGCGGGTGGACATCAAGTGGCTGTGCACAATATTAGCGGTGGTACTATGCAGCATTTGACTAGCACCAACAACAGCGGTGGCACTGTACAACATTTGTCGTCGCCGTCAGTTTCGGGTGGCACTACGCCACTTATTGTTACAACAACGACACGCCAAGCGCAACAACAGCAGCAGCAGCAACTTGTGCATCAACCAACACAACAAATTGTGTGGCGTCAAATAAGTGGTGGCACGACGAATACTGCGTCAGGTGCAGGTACCACCGTTAGTGGTGCCGATGCTGCGGCGGCAATGGCGGCTGCAGCAGCCGCAGCCGGCTCGGCTGGCAACAAGATTGTGTGGGCCAGTCGTCCGGGTCAAAAGCGGCAGTTGAATGGGCCAGATGGAGCGACAGGTGGGTGAAATTTGAGGGGAGGAAAGAAATAGTTTTACAATTCTTAAAAAATCACAACTTAAAGCAGTGTCACACGATTGGTGCATTTGTACAGATTTGTACAATTTTATATTGGACTATTGCTGTAAAAAGAAAAAAATTGGGACGACAATTATTACAATACCTCGAACTTCTATTGAAAAAAATTAATAAACAGTTTTTCGTGATTGTGATAAAGAAAAAAAATTGTGCATTCACACGATTGGGATACAATTTGCACCAAACTTTGGGCGAATGTCCAATCGTGTGACACTGCTTTTGGGGTTGCCTAAAAACATTATTGGGCACAAGACATGCCATTTCTAGTATTAAAACAGTTTATTAGANATGTCCAATCGTGTGACACTGCTTTTGGGGTTGCCTAAAAACATTATTGGACACAAGACACGCCATTTCTAGTATTAAAACAGTTTATTACACTATAACACAACTAAAGCAGAAAGGGTAATTTACTATTAATGATAATTTTTGTGATTTTTTAAGTTTTCTTTAATCCTAGAACCATAACGTCCTTCCATCCTACGCTAAGACCAACTATGCGTAAATTGTGATTAGAATCCGCCTGATACAATCCAATTTGTTTCTGATTTTGTTGCCTAAATTGATAATTTTTATCAAACTATTTATTCTTCAAATAAAGTACAAAATTTTACAAGAAATTCCAATTTCACTGTATTAAAGAAAATACAAGGAGTAAATTAAATTTCAATGATTTGACAAATTTTAATTTGATGTTCACCACATACGCATATTTTATGCATAGACTTGTGCTGCACTCGCTCTCAAACGTTCAACTGACCACATATGAGTTGTGTTTTTTTTACAAATTATCCAGTAACTTGCCAGTAACTCTGCAGTAACTTTATTTCTAAGAATTTGCTCTCATAGAAAAAATTTGCAAAAAAGTACGCGAACGCTTTTCCAGTAATAATTTGCAAGTTTCATGAACAGCTGATAAATTGGTTGTTTATTCGCAGCATATTCCCAATAAAACGATATATTTTATATTTAAATATGTTTGTTTTGAAAATTTCCACAATAAAAATTCACAAACAGTTTCCTTATTAGTTTAAATTTCATACAGCAACATGCGATCAGCTGTTTTTCGTACTGGCAAATTCTTACAAGTAAAAATTTATCCAGTAAAATCCAGTAAAAACTTGCAACTTCAGCTGTCATTTTTCGCTCTCTCAATTTCCCCTACTTTGCAAGTTTTTGCGTACGAAAACGCCAAAACATGAAAATTCGTAAATACTTTTACTGGATTTTACTGGAAATGAGTAAAAAAACGCAACTATGCTGTCCTCTTGCATTTCTGTATACATAAAAATACGTGTTGCACGCACTGCCGGCGTTGGGTACCGTTACAGCATGGCACACTTGTGCAATCTTAAATTTACGTATATTATGGTTCTAGGGTTAATCCATTACAATTTGTGTAACATAACCCTACTTTTTTAATCTTCTCTATAAACTCTATTTTAATATTCATATTTATTCCAGACATAAACAAACNAATCTTAAATTTACGTATATTATGGTTCTAGGGTTAATCCATTACAATTTGTGTTACATAACCCTACTTTTTTAATCTTCTCTATAAACTCTATTTTAATATTCATATTTATTTCAGACATAAACAAATTATTGTTGAATCGCAAATTCTCACAACGAAAAATAATCACCCAACAACAGCATCAAATCCAAATCACAAAGCATTTACAACAATTGCACCACCAACAACAGCAGCAGCAACAGTTGCAACAACAGCAAGACGATGATGGCAGCGGGGTTAATACTCTCCATGATGGGCACACGAATTCATCAGGTGGGGTGACCACCACTTTGGTTGGAACGTCGTCGCAGCTGCAAAAAGTGCAGATGCAAGGGGGCAAAGTGATAAAAATGTCGTCGTACCCACTGCTCGTTTCCGAGTTGAATGTCGCACAGCAACAACAGCATCACCAACCACACCACCAGCAGCAGCAGCAGCAACAGCAAAAACACAACTCAGCGGCAATTTCTGCCAATCACAACTACAGCCTGCAGCCTACGACAGCGATAATAACCTCATCGCAGTCAGCTACACAGCAGGGCGCCAGCGGTGGCAATAAAATCTATCTGACCAGCAACAACGCCAGCGGTGGTGGAACCAATTTCACCATAGCCACAGCTAGTGAACTGGCTAATGCTGTTGCCGTGCAGCAGTCCAATAGCAATAACAGCGGTGGCGCCGGCAGCAGTAACGGCAACAGCAACATGGCACAGAAATTGCATCACTACAAGGAGCTGCAGAACGCCAACTTGAAAGTGAACTTTGTGACCACTTCTAACGCAGGTGGTACTAGTAGCGGTAGCGGTGGTAGCGCTGTTAGCGTGCAACATGGCAGCATCGTTGTGGATGCGAAAACAGTCGCAGCCGCAGTCAGTCAGTCGCAACAACAGCAGCAGCAACAACAACAGGCAACGGCTCAGCAACAGACAGTTGTGCTGAACAAAGCCTCGGCAAATGCCAATCTGCAGCAGCAAAAACTGAAACGCGAACGTATACTCAATATAATCGGCGCCTCGAATATGGAAGTGAATGCAACGAATGTCAATAATGCCGTAGTCAGTGCCGGCGGTGTCGGTCCTGTTGAGAATAGCAAACGTGTGCTCTACACAAGTCTGCTAAACGTGAAGCCGCTGCAGAAGAACAACTCTGGTCAGATGCAGATGCAAATTGGACCCGGTGGCATGACACACGCGCTCTTGCGCGGACGCATTGGTAACAATCAAACGATTTTCACGAATATGCGTACGGTCCCGATAGCGACGAGCGCAGCGGTGGGCAATGCAACCACTGTGCAGCAGTTGCAAGTATCAGCTGCTGGTGGTAGTTGCAATAACAGCAGCAATGTTGGAGGCAATGGAATGAGTGTTAGTTTGGCGCAAGTTACAACGAATTCGACGACATCATCGTCATCTGTGGCGCATATGCAACATTCTTTGGTAAATATAACCAATTCAAATGCCACTGCTGCAGCGGCGGATATTATAACCACAAGCAGTAGTTGTAATGATCTCAAGTCAATTGAGAGTGTTGGCTGCAACAATAGTAGCAGCGGCGGAAATACTAACACGGTGGCGTTGTCGATAAGCAGTGGCAGCAGTAATGGCAACAGCAACAGTAATAGCAATAGTAGCGTCGGTGGCGGTGGCGGCGTCAGTGCTGGCAATTCAACTCTCAATTCGGCGTCAGCGGCGACTGCGAACAATAATACGCTTGCTTCTGCAATAATCAACAGGTGAGATACGGGGAGCTAACTAACAATAAGCAACTATGAATATGAGCTAGAGTGCGCCGCACAGGTGGGCGCAGCCGTCGCCGTTGTCGCAGGTCGAGCGGCGGCAGCAGCAGTGTTTCGCATTTGGTGTGTCACAGCCGCAACCGCAGCTGCAGCTGTATATGTAGTGGTAGCACTGTTGCCGCAACAATATTGCCTATTGATAGAGAAGCGGTACGCGCGCTTTAATGGGGAAGCTTTAAAGACGACGGCGATAATGAAGCTGATATACAATTTCGTTTAAGCGTCTGGGCCCTACATTGAATGGAGTAAAGTGTTGAGTTGTTAGCGCTGACAGTCACTCTAAACAGGAAGGAAGGCAGCTGAGCCTAAAGCGGTGAAAGTGAAGAAGAAAATCACAAAAAAATACGACATCAAAAGAAATTACGTGCCGCCGCAAGCGACTCAAAAATACATTCTTAAAACACACTTCAATCGACTTGTGGTGGATGGTGGGACAACAGCGCTGGCCGTGGACGCCGCATCAGGAGCAGTTGTAGCAGCAGATACAGCAGCAGCAGCCGTAGCAACAGCAACAACACACAACAACTTATACCTTACCAATCTCTTGTAATTTTACTAGATGTTGTTGTTAATAATTGATAATGTACTTGTAGATTACTTGTAGATTATATAATAATTTATATATACATATATATATATGCATCTAAACATATATATGTATATATATACATACATACATACACAAATACTTAATGAGTTGAGCTGATGATATGATATAAAAAGAAAAGTAAACGAAAACGGAAAGAAAATAGAATGTAAAATGCTAGAGAAAGAGTGAAATTTGCTAAAGAAAAGAAGTACCGTTACGGCAAATGAAATTTTTATTTGTATAAAGAAGTCGTAACTATTTAGAGAAACATAAATTGGAAAAAGCAGTGAGCAGCAGTTGCCAGAATTGGTGTTGGCGGCTTTGAAGATTTTTTCGATATTTGATTAATCAATTATTTAGAAAAAAATGTGATTTTTTCATGCTTTTACAGTTATGCTGAGCGAGAGATACTAGTTATTTGTTTGGTTTTATATCTTTTTAAGGCAAAAACAAACAAAAAAAAAATATAAATAAAGCAAACACTTTTTTGATATTTTTTTGGCAGAAAATAATCGGTAGTTTATGTTTGCTTTTCAGATTTACTTTGGAAAATTTTGATATTTTTTCGGGATGCATCGATTTTACTTTTCGGGATTCTTAGTGATTCACTTTTAAATTTTTTTGGACTTGTAGGATTTTTTCGGGATTTTTGCGAACTCTTTTAGAATCTTACGAGATTCTTCGTCATTAACTTTTCCAATAGGAGATAAAAAGCAAAAATTTACTGGTATTTCTTGCTCGAAATAATGAAAGTCAAAAATTAACCAAAACGTTTTGCTTTTGAATATAAAACGCATATACCGTACGGCGTCTGGTATTTCAATGTAAATATTCGTATTAATAATTTATATTCGACATGGTCACAGCTTGAAGTACATATTTTCTGAAATGCAAGAAAAAAATATGCCTTGCGCCTTTCCACACGCAATTCTTCGCAGTGCTGCTCAATAAAAACAAAAGGGGGACGATTTTTTGTATTTCATTTAATTTATTTACATTTGCTTTAAGTTACATTGCAATACAAACAAAATACGCTAAATTTAAATATTTTTTTTTTTTAAATTAATATATTGCGTTTTTTTCAGTTAAATTCCATTTCTGTTTTGGTTTATTCTTTTTTTTATTAAACGACACCGTTATATAGAGAATACGTTTATAAGTAGGCGTTAGCTAGTAATTAAGTAACGCTTTAGCTATTAATTTCTACTACCACATTTTTTATTTTTATTTTTTTACGCTAATAAAAATTGTAAATCAATAAAAGAAGAAAAATGGAAACGTTAAAATTTAAAGTAAGCCTCGAGGTGAAGTATGTAGCTAGAGACAAGTGAGTTAGAGAAAAAATAGAAATAGAGAGGGAGAGAGAGCATATGTATAGTTTGATATGTCAAGAAGAAGGTGGTGGTAGCAAGGATAAGCTACCGCCGCAAGTTGGAATACAACATTCGCTTATTATGATATATGTATATCAGATCTTATTTTCAAGATCGACTTTTTACTTTTTAATAAAATCAAAGAAAATAAAATAAATAAATCAAAAACTATTAACAAATAAGCTAACAACCGATTTGAATTTATTGTTTTGAGCGCCAGCAGTTAGCCAGATGCGGTACAACTGGTTTTGAAAGTGAATTCAAAATTTTTCCTAGTCGAATTGGGTCAAACAGCGCAAATTTTTAAATCTTACAAATTTTAATTTCAAAATTGTTACGCTAAAAACTGGGAGTGTTCCGCTAAACAGGAAAAAGCCCCGAAACCATCGAAAATCCCCAAATTTTGGCTGAAAAGTCAAAATAGCTGTGAATTTATTTTGAAGTTTTCCAATTCTTCAAGCTTATAAGAACCGCTCAATAAAAACGCAGTTTTCGAAATGGATTTTCAAAACTAGTTTTCCAAAAATGAAAAACCGAGGATAGAGAAAGGAGTGCATGTTAGTCTGATAGAAGTTGAAGTTATTCGAAAAATAAATTTGGAAAAATTATCGAATTTTACACAAGATTTTTTGATATTATTTCATCAAATTTTAAGCTACGTTGTGACCAATTGTTTGAGGTTGTTGAAACACAACTTTTAGCCATTAATCTTCAGCGTTAAATACAAATTTTTGAAACTTCCACAAAACAGCAAACATTTTTTTTTATCAATTGGTCCAGCATAAAGCGAAAATAAAAGATAAAATTTTGTTTGAAAATTTATTTTTGAAGTCCACTTGATGAAAATTTTGCAAAATTTCGTGCTAAAAAATGGAGCCAATAGTGTATAAGGGGCATTGGGCGTTCTCTTTAACTGCAAAAAGTCTTCAATTTGATTTTGAAAAACATTTTTTGACTTTTCGCAAAACTTCAAAAAATTGTGTTACTCCAGTGAAAGGTGAAAGTTAGGCTCTGTTAAGGAGTAGGATAAAAACCGTAATTTTTTAACACAAATTTGAAGATTTGAAAATTATAGTTTTTTAAATCTGCAGTTAAAAAAGTGAAATTTTCGTTCTGAATAATGTGTTGAGAGCATTCGATGGAAACAGAAACTTTTATTGAACTGCAAAAGATTGCATGAAATATTTTTCGAGTTTTTAGTTTCAATTATCCCAAAATTAGACGAAAAAATAGTAGCCGCCCTTGCACTTGAGTCGTAATAAGTTCAAAATTAAATTTACATCGGGAGTTTCGATATTTAAAAATAGACTTTAGAAGTCTACACGACAAAATATTTTAAAAAATTTTGATTCGAAATGCACAACACTTGAATGATATAGCATTCATTCTAAACAAATATATTTTTCAAAACTGAATTTCATAGATTTCGGTTTTCAAGTATTTAACGCATTAAACTGTAGAATTTGTTTCTACGAAAGGCTGACAAATGCTACAAAATGAAGTTAAAACTATTTTTTTTACTTCCAAATTTAATTTTATTAACTTGTTTTGGAATTTTTTGATTTTTTGTTTAATTATGTTTTTAATAATAAAATTTAGGCCTATTACTTTTTTCAGATTAAATTTTTCAGTTTTCAAATTTTGTTTTTAGTTTTTCTTTTATTTTTTTTTTTGTAATTTTTCCTTTTTAAACCTTTTTCGAAACTAATTTAATTTTTCGAAAATGCTTTTTCACAGATTTTGGTAGGATATATTAAAATACACCCTCAACAAAAATTTGAAACTGTTGGTACCAAAAACAACGGAGTCACAGGCCACTTTTTAAAAAGGCCTGCCTGTTTTTGATACTCTTTTTTTATAATGTTTTTTGCTTCTGTAAAATAAAAAATTTGTTGGTTAGACCCTTTGTGAATTAAAGTAACAATATGTATCCATTTCTTTCCGAACGTAAAGGCAATCGGTTGTTGGCTAAAATTGAAACTTCATACAATCCATAAAATTCTTCAAAACACGCCCATGTACTTCCGCATATACAAACCTACATACTTAGTAAATATAAATAGCACCGCAGGGAGGGGCAGACCCTTTAAAGAATATAAAATAAAAGAAAATGTATGAACAAATCAAAGTTGGAACTTAGTTAAGCATTTATTAAACTTAAAAAAAATCCAATTGTTTTTGAATGTCCAAATAGTTTAGAAGTGAAAATACATATTGGAAAATTTAGAATTACCAGTTAAACGTGCTTTTCGAATTTCTGGTGAAGTGTGATGCCAAAATCGGCGTTGAAGTAAATTAAGAACTTACAAAAACAGTTATGCAAAATTTAAGCTACAAATCGGAGTTTTTCCCAAACTCAATGCAAAATTTACGAGTATGTTACGAAAAATAAAATTCTTAAGCATTTTTTCGCGAAGTTGACTCATTAATTTCCAACCAAATTTCTTACCTCTTACATAACTAGAACTATGTAGTACTACTCCACACACACACACACACACTCACACCGCAAACACTTTCATACACTCATTACAAACCGGTGTAAAAAAAAAGAATAAAAAATTAACATTAAAAAAAATGTGAATGAAAAAATGCTGTAAATAGTTAATAATGATGATAATGAATAAACTTAAACTTAATTATTACAATTAAATTATAAAGAAAACGAAAACAAATTAATATTAATGTTAATATTAAAAGTTATGTACTAAATAATTATAATTATAAAATATTACTGGTAATAAACGACAAACAAAGCGAGACAAAAAAGAACAGAAAAAATAAACCAACAAAAACAAAAAGCTTTTTTAAGATGTAACTTCAAAAAAAAAAAAAAATTGCGAATGTTAAGGTTTTTTTTTTTTTTTTGAATAATCGTGAGCGAGCGACGGCATGTCTGCTTCAGTGACGAGAGCTGGGATTGGTATGCGGAAAAATTGTTCTTTCATTTTTAAGCGTTGCGAAAAGTTTTGCAAGTTTGTGGGATTTCGTCTTTTCTTCTTTGAAATTTTTAAACGTTGCGAAAAGTTTTGCAAGTTCGTGGGATTTCGTCTTTTCTTCTTTGAAATTTTTTACAAGGGCAGTCGAAATTTTGCACTTAGAACTCTAAACCGATGGCTTGAAATTTGTCACACGCTTCAGAAGGTCGCCGCCGCACGGTATCCATTTACTTTACCAAATATATTATGCCGGATTTCCACTATGCATTGAATGGCAAACGTATCTTGGCATTAAATTATACAAATTTTAAAGACAAAATTGAGAATTGAAAAAGACCTGTGCCATAACGTTAAGAAAAATTGTCATTAAATTTGTTTCCAAATGGCATTTTTTAAATGGCACGCATTTTCTCTCATTTCATTTTGTAGTGGAAGTTCCGCATTAATATTAACTTGACGGGAGTCTAATCACGCAGAAAGCGTCAGTTGCTTGGTCATGGGTCAAAGGTTTGTTGAGGTCGTTTTTTCTCGATTCAGCACGTAACAAAAAGATGATTAGGGACCAGCTCGTAGAAAATTAAAACTTTTATTCATAAATTTTTATTTATAAGAATGCCTTAATTTCGCAACTTAGCTGCAATTCGACATTTAACTGTGTTTGCGCATGCTTCACATTTCCATCAATTATATGTAGTTTAGTACTAAAAGGCACTGGTTTTTGCAGTAATACTACAGTAATGCATTTACGAACTCGACCTGTATTTTATGCTTTGAATTATCATCGAAAGTCTTGAGGCCTCTAGATTTGTATGAAATATCTTTTGAGTTTCAAGTTAACTTTTTTTAAGGAAGAATGCTTTTAATTAACCGGCTTCAAAAGAGAGGAGGAGGTTATCAATTCGTCGGAATATTTTTTTTTTTACTAAAAACCACAAATCGATTGATTTAAATCAGAAAAGCTCATCAGTTTTGTCGACATAATATGACATAGTGTAAACTAGGCTTTATTAAACTTTTGTTTATTATAGTTATGAAAAACTATTAAAATTTCCTAAAATTTTGATTCACATTTTATTCACAAAAGTACGTAAGGCAATGCAACCGAACTTCAGTTGGGTGGCCAGTGGCTGAA